GTGCGGTAATGTGTAGCATTAATGGTCATCAAGTATTAAATGTAAAGGCTAAAATGAAATATATTGTAAATAAAGAAATTATTTTTAAATTGTAGGTAGTTTAAAAAAATCTTTCATGTATGGTCTTTTCAAGAAACAGTGATGGAACAACTGGGCATTTATGCACAAATAAATGATCTAGATACGGACCTTACAACCTTCACAAAAATTAAATCAAAATGGATCATATACCTCAATGTAAAATGCAAAAGAAAAATTCAGAGACGATAACATAGAAAATCTAGATGATCTTGGGCATGGAGATGACTTTATACAGGTACCACCAAAGGCTCTAGTTCAAAAAAACATTATACACTAGACTTAATTAAAATTAAAAACATCTGCTCTGTAAAAGACACTGTCAAGCAAATGGGGAAAAAAAGCCATAGACTGGCGTAGAATAAGTACAAAACAAAACATATCTAATAAAATATTTTTATCTAAATTATACAAAGAAGTCTTAAAACTCAACAAAAAGAAAATGAACATTTGGATAAAAAAGGGGGAAAGACCTAAACAGATAACCTCAACAAAGAAGGTGTATGTATGGCCACAAATATATGGAAAGATGCTCCACATTACATGTCATCAGGGAAATGTAAATTCAGACAACCATGAGATAAAATTAGAATGGTCAAAAGTCAGATAACTGACGACAGCCATGAGATAAAATTAGAATGGTCAAAAGTCAGATAACTGACAACACCAAGAGCTGATGAGGATGTGGAACAACAATTCTTCATTCATTGCTGTTGGGAATGCAAAATTCTACAACCACTTTGGAAGATGGTTAGTTGCTTAGAAAGCAAAACATAGACTTATTATAATGTACAATCCAGCAATCACATTCTTTGGTATTACTTACCCAAATGTATAGAAAATGCATATCCACACAAAGATCTTCACACAAATACTTATAGCAGCTTTATTTATATTTGTCAAAACTTGGAAGAAACCAAGATTTTCTTTGTTATGTAAATGGATAAACTGTGGTACATCATGGAATATTATTCAGTGCCCAGCAAGAAATGAGCTCTCAAGAAATGAAAGGACATTGAGGAAACTTTAAGGTGTATTACTGAGTGAAAGAAGCCGGTTTGAACAGGATATATACTACATGATTCCAATTCTACGACTTTCTACAAAACGCAAAACTATCAAAGCAGTATAAAGATCAGTCACTAGACAAAGCTCAGACAATTTTTAGGAGAGTGACAATATTCTACAGAATACTATAATTGTGGGTACATTGGTCAAAACCCGCAGAAAATGCAAAAATGAACACTAATATAAACAGTTTACCTTGGGTGATAATGATGTGTGAAAGTAGGTTCATTAATTGTAACAGACACACCATTTTGTCGCTAGATGCTGATAGCTAGGGAGGTTGTGCTTGTGTGGGAACAAGGGATATATGGCAACTCTGTACTTTTTACTTTGCTGTGAACTCAAAACTGCTCAAAAAATTGTCTATTTAAAAGGGAACAAAATTCCTCACACTATATAGGTGTCTCTTTAGGCTTCAAATGACACATTCATTGAGATAGTAATCATTAATTTATAAACTTTACCATGAAAACAAAGGTTACTGCAGTCAGAGATCTTAAAACATTAAAACATGAAAATGTCTGTCACCATGATCTTTGTGTATATGATAGCTCTAATAACACTTGAATCATATATTGTTTGTAAAAGTTTTAAATCAATGCATTATCATGAGAACTGTCTGTATTTTAACTACTTTGTCAATATTTTATTCTATGAAATAAAACATAAACTCCTAAAAGTGGGTATTGATAAATAGTAATTAATTATTCAGAATTAGAAAAAAGAAACCACACAATGAGTTTCTGGTTGCCAGATGTACATGTTGTTCAGTCTGATAAATCAGTCAGCATTTTTAAAGCTGTAGCTAAAATTTGCTAATATATCATTCTGAATAATCTAGAATTAGGTACTCCATGACTAAAGTTAGTGAAATATCTCCATTTTTTTCAATAAGATGTTAAAAAGTCAGTGTCCTACCTAAACATAGAAGCAACGTATGCACAATGGCAAAACATACATATGCTGTGATTTCACATGGCCTGTAAATATGTATGGCTATAACAAGAGTCTCATGAGGACAACTGCCCTGAGAATAAAACAAAACAATATAAATTAACAGCAGCAGTCAAACAGGGTTCCAATTCCGGCCTTGTTACTCTTACTACTTATATAGTGCTAGGCAAACCCCTTCACTCCTTCATTTTCTAAATGAGAAAGTTAGAACAGATAAAGTTTATGATGTGTTTATATCTAGGAATTGTGTTTGCTGTATCACAGTGCATTGTTTGCTTCAAATATATATTCATTAATCCAAAGTACTTCAGAATGCTAGGAACAGGCCCCAAGTGTGTCCATGGAACGCTTCATGGATGAAGCCATATGTAGCATTTAAACTGATCTGATTTTTGAGGATCAGAACTCCTTTGAACCCTAGTGTTAACTTTCTTCTACTATGTATTGCTATATTAATATATGGCATTAGTTATTATGCAAAGACAATAACAGGGGCTTATAAGTCTTTTGATTACTTACAACACCAAGGAAATGGATGAAAATACACTTAACATACATTCAGTAATGGTGATTTCATCACTGATAACAATGTGAGTTGAAAATAAATCAAGTTCATTTTGGCAAGAATGATTATTTTTGTGTGTAGTGTCTCTTCAAGACTTCTATAAAACCAAATACAAAGAAATACCATGTCTATCCCGGCCGGCGGGATCGTCACTGCAGGCCCTGGAAGAGGGGGTGGGAATTTGGGGAACAAGAGATACGAGAAATGGAGATAAGACAGTGCTCTGATCAAGTCCCGTTTAATGGTGGTAATGCAATGCCTTATATACACTTGGAGGGGAAGGGGTTGGGCCAAGGCGAAAATGATCTCATCGCGGAGGGTGTGGCCAGGTAGGTATTGGTAGCGTGGTCGAACGTCATGTGGCGCCTGCGCTGTCAGGTAGCAATTTTCGCGGGCGCGGGAAAAATGGATGAAGAAGAAGCAGGAAGAGCGCCATCTTTTATGAGGTATAAATACAGGGGAAAAGGCAAAGATAGGGAGGAGGTGTAAGGTGGAAATGAATAAAGCTCAGGCGTTTTTAATCGTCAATTATTATTCGCTATGGCCGGGGCGTGCAGCTCCGGACACATGTCAATGCCCAGAGATTTTCTACAAGACAAGCAATTCAAAATGCCTTACTCCTTATATAATCCATTTTCTCACTGGTAGAACTTAAGAGATGTGAAGAGGTAAATAATTACTTGTGGAAGGTCAAGTCTTCATGCTGTTCATGTTTCAAAATTCTAAAACAAAAGTACTCTCTTTAGAAAGTGTACAATTTTAAATAATTTAAATTGGAAATACATGAACCTGTGTGTGTAATTTGTTGTTTTGCATTGTTTCCTTTCTTCATTCACTCATCTGCTGAAAGATATTTACTAACAGAAGAGTATTTGTCTGTTTGATTTTGCTTTCAAAACAGCTAGAAGAGGATTTTACATCTGGCAATCTTCTTTACGTTACCTATACATAAGAATGAATACAAATATAATAAATCAAAGTTGCCTTTTAAAAAAGCTAGTTGTAAGACAGATAATGTTGCTTCCAAAAAAATTTGATTGTTAAATAATATAAGTATCCATGAGATCATTCTTCATGTGGCTGCCAGATATAAAACCACTCCTCCTGAGAAAGTCTTTTAATTGTGTCTTATTTTACAATAAAAGCTTGTCCTTTTATGATACCCCAGCTTCTTCATAGAAGTGCTCTATAGGGAAAAGAAATAGAGAAGAATCCTCAAATTCACTGTAAAACAATTTCTTAACTGCCAGGAGATTCAGCCTTCCCTTCCCAAATAGCTATCATTTGTATACACATGGGCAATTTTCTTTTTATGTAGAAAACAATCTCCTAAAATAATCTTGCAGAAACTCATATATGGGGAACTTTGGTGATCTGTCTTTGGATATTTGTGTTTATTTTTATTGAAAAGTAAACAGGTTATGGCAAAACAATTATTCAAGTTGGTAGTATTCCTCTTCTTTTTTTTTTTTTTTTTCCAGAATGAAGGTTTAATTTTGAGATATCAAATACCATGAAAATATAGTAGAAGAGCTACTTTAAATAAAGGTTACGTTGAAGTCTCTTATGGTGTGACTTCTCAGTTTGCGTATTCCTCTTCTTAAAAAGTGCTGTTGATTACATACCTATTAGCTATCATAAAATAATGAAAAATACAAAATAAATTACAGATATATTGAGATGACCTACTACATCTTCATTAGGTCTCTCTCTGTCTCTCTAACCTGTGTTTGTATGTGTTTGTACATACATATATGTATAATATATGAAGGGGCATAAAGGAGAGAATAAGCCATTATTTTTAAAAGTGGCAATTTAATGACAAAAGGATGCTCATGTCACATTCTTTAATCCTGAATCAAGGATTAAGCCTTTTTAATTAATTGGGCAAAGGCATTCAGGCAGCTTAGGGCAGCTTAGATGGTGCTGTAGTTTATTTAATAATATAGCAGCAAAGAGGAGCTTTCTCTCCTCCATGATATAAGAGATTCTTTCAAAGAGGGTAACATCACTGATATAATTCTTTCTTATAGAGAGGAAAGTTTCCATCCCATTGATGGAGATAAATGAAAGATATTGGAAGAACACTTTTATAAATGTACAGTAAGTAATTTCATGTAATTTAGTAAAAATTGATTTGTTAAATAAGTATTAATACAACCAATATCAAATAAATTGACTTAAAAAGATTTATCCAGCATGATTATACACTACTACCACTATAGAACAAAATTTCAGTTTTTGGACATGAGTCATAAATTGCATTGATGTGCAATGGCCAAAGTGTAACTTCTGTTTAAATCAAGGAACAAAGCTAAGATAATTAAAAGTCTACTTTTTTTTTTTTTTTTAATGGCCAAGTTCAGGTGAATAATGCTGAGGATACTGAAAGAGGAATTGGAATTCTGAATCTGTCAGTTAGCTGCTGAAAGAGACCAAATTGGTTGCTTAAGTAAACAATCAAACAAGGAGTATAATAAAAGTTGTTCTTTAGCGGGAAGGAGAAGAAATTGGAAATTCAGGTCAAATAATCAAATTTCTGAGAAAGTCTCATAGATCACAAAGAATTAGAGACCATTATTATCTTTCTCAACTCTCAACAACCAGTAGGAAAACAAATTCCACAAAGGGTTGTGAATGAAACATTTAAACCGTTAAAATCTGTTGCCTTTGGAAACAATTGTAATTTTGATGTCAGTTTTAAGTTATATCCAGAATAAGGATTGTACTTTGGTTTTGGGGGTATACTTACATGGCTTCTTAAACAACTTTGTTCCTCTTCATTATAAGTTAAAGAGTGAACATTATTACTTTAGGCAATTAACGGCAAATAAAGATTAAAGAAATATTTCCCCCATCCCTAAGAAAAGAATGTTTTTGAGGGCATGTCTCTGTCTGCACTCATGGATCCATTCCAAGTGTCCTCCAGGCACGGGAATATCTTAAGTCTTCCTAATACCTCTATGTACCTGATTAGAATTAGAAAATATTGGCAGATACTCGACTGAGTAAAAGAAGTGCAATAACATGAATTCTGGCCTTTATTTGTTCTTCTCTTGAGAATGTAATTTTTAAAATAATATTTTGGAGATTTTACTATTTACGATGCTAAATATTTTTTAGTAGATAAATATCAAGCATTTCATAGGCACACACATTTTCTCTTAGAAATTGTTACTTAAAGAATTTCCACCTTTGTGCTTCCAAACTTTGGAAGCTAATGAAGAAATTTTGGTTTTCAGTAAATCTTTTAATACGTAACTCTTGATTGATTTCCATTAATATATACAATAATTTAAAGAAAAAAGCTCATGATTTTACATTACTCATAATTAGTCTTCATACCATGCAGCACAAACCATATTGTTTTTATCAACAAGAAGGTTTCTCATTAAAAGTAAAATAAATAATGTATATTCTGCCTTTAGAGCAAAGTTGGATATTAAAAGCCAAAATACTTAATAGATCATTTAGGAATCACTGAAATATTGTTGAGTAAATTGAAGGAAGTACTTCCTTATGGAAAATGTGTTGCTTCATAGCCCAGTGCATGAGTTTGTGTAGTGTTCAGAAAACATTCCCAGATTACCTTGATTAATTTCTCTTTGTCTTGTGAAAGCGTGCAGGTATGATTGATTCGTTGATTCTATAATTAGAAAGGATAGAAATAAAACATTTCCTTTTGGATTGCATCAGAAAATGATTTGCTTGAAAGGGAAAACGGCTAGACGTACTTTAAATTTAGCTTCTTTTTAATCATACCAAAAATTAAATAGCCTGTTTCACACCATGAACAAGATACTTCTATGTGTAAACAACAAATAGAAACCTCCCATAGTGTGTGTATGTCTGTATGTTTGTGTGTATATGTGTTAATCCTTACTTAATTGCATGACAAGTAAAGCTAATTTAAGAATGCACATTTAAAAAATAGAGTTTTCATTTTAGTTTTATTGTAGTGAGTAGTATTTTTAATTTTCTTGAAAGGCACCCAAGAATAATTACTTTTGTGAACCAAAAATATATAAAACTGTACAGAATAAATATTTCATAGAAATCTAACTATACCTTCTTGTAAAATAAAGCTACATTGTTCCTCTCTTGAGGCAACTTAAACCACTTACCTTTAGAAGTGCCTTTTGCTACTGATTTATGGCATCTATCAATATACATCAATAAAAATAAAATAATTTTTCCTATTTACTTTACAACTGTGAATTACTTGCCACAAGAAATGTATTTCTATCATGGTCATTCAAATTTACAAAGAATTAAGCCTATGAAATAAAGCAAACCCAATAGATTCTCTAGTCATATTTACAGCAGAATCTCAGTAGCATTTTAAAAATATCCCTAGAAGAAGAATTAAACTTTGAACATAAATGACATACTTTAGTTCACAGCAGCACTGACATTAAAATTATCTACACAAAATGTGTAGAAAACCCCCCAAAATATGCTTATTTATTCCACCTGAACTATTAATCATTTTAACTTCTTAAACTTAGAATGCACGAGAGTGGCATTTGTTTAAGCTCAAATGCTCAAAGTTTTGAGCCACCCATGACCTATGTAATTACAACCTTTGTATTTTTTCTTCACTGTTTGTAATTTATAATTGTCAAGTTCCAGTTTCTTTTGCATTTATTGCAAGAAAGTTAGGTATGTTTGACAATATACATTTTTGAAGTACATACTGGTTATAAACAATGTATTCCTTACATATTATAACTACATATACAGGTATGGTTTTTAAATGATGAAATCTAATTGTAATTTATAGGGAAAGCAATTCAAGAAAATTCGGGATACTTAAATGTTCAACCTTTTTAGATGTGCAAGAGGACTCCTATGAGACACTTTTCAGTATGTGGAGAAATATTACTGTAACCCTTGAATGATTTACATGCAAGGATTTATTTTATTTGGGACAGACTAAATTGCCTGAAGATAATGCCATGGCTTCTCCCAATGATCCCTGAGTTTATTTTTCTTCCTTTTTTCCCCCGTAGTTTACTACTGTGCTTAAGTTCTGATTGATGACACACTCATGTAAGGCACTTATTTACAAGGTATGGACTTAAAACAGAATCACAGCATTTCTGTGAAAGCCCTCAAACTCTCCATCTATGTTTGCTGCTCCAGGACTTCTAAATAGTCAGGTTCAGCATGTAAATTAGCTTTGAGTTCAAAATACTCATTTTTCGTCTGTTCCACTAATACCTTCCTTGGACGTGAGTACATTAATGTTTCCATTAATTTCAGTTCTTCGTGGGCTCCTGGATAATGTGCCTCCATATCAGGCTGGAGCTGAGCAATGTTTTTCCTTAGGTATTCTGTGATTCCTAGTTGCTGAAGTTCCCTTTCTTTTTCTAAAATGTTTCTATACAATGAACTGGCATCTTGGAAGGATAAAAATTCTGTCGATTGGTTCGTGGTTTTGTATTTCATATTGGACCCTGTGAGTGGTGAATGATTTTCCCGTTCCAAAAGACTTCTTTGGAGATGTTTTGCGTCACTTCCTTCTTTCTCATTCCCCTCTTCTTCCTCTTCCAAATGCTTTGGACCAAAGGAGGGACTTCTATAGGCATGAACCATGGGGCTCACCATGTGCTGTTCATAGAGAGAGGCAGAGGGTCTTTCAGTAGTGTGATGAGTGGTTTTATGGCCATACATGCTGTACTGAAGATGCACAGGACTGTTGTCCCTCATTTGCTCATCTACTTGTTTCTTTTTGTATCTTCTCCTGCGGTGAAGAACAAGAACCACTATCCCTGCAGCACAGAACACAATAGTGATGAACACAATCAGAAGTCCCAATATTAGAACAGACAGTGGCACAGCGTCTGTAAGAGATCGTAAAATAGTATCGGCCGTATTCGTTGTTGTTGTAGGAGTGGTGACAATAATGTAACTAGTCTGTGTTGGCATGGATGGGTTATTTACTAAACCTGGACAGAGAAGTTCACTATTTAGGGCTTTTAATTCCTTTTTGTCGAGATGCCCGGGAGAAGTGCAGAGGATGTCATCTGTCACTGTGTTCTTGCTTAGCTTTTGTATCCATTGTTGCAGTCCAACCAGGTCACAGGAGCAGTCCCAGGGGTTATCCTCAAGGTCAATCTGGGTTAGTAAATCAAGATCATCCAAAATATTACTTACAGGTAGATGGGTAAACTGGTTTGTTTTAAGATTTACCTTAGTTAGAGGAACCCCTGAAAAAATATGTGGTGGCAAAACTTGGAGGAGGTTGTTATTTAAGTAGAGGACTTTAAGTTTAGGCATTGGATTAAATGTTTCTGGCAGTATTTCCTTAATGGCATTGTATTCAAGATATAAGTATTCAAGATTATGGAGGCCAAGGAACATGCCTTTACTTAATTTGGTCAGATGGTTACCATTTAGATACAGCTTTTGTAATCTCGTTAGGTTCATAAATGATCCTTCTTCAAGAACTTCAATACGATTGTTTCCCAAGTGAAGCATTTCCAAAGTGAAATATTCCACTAGATCAGACTTCATTAAACTATGAATAATATTTCCCGCTAGAATGAGCTTTCTAGGATTTTGCGGAGGAGGTCTCAGATCTGATAAGCTCTCAATGTTGCGCTCCTGACAATGTATTAGAAGTCCTGATGGGGATAGGACTTTGCAGTTACAAGGAATAGGGCAGTAAGGTCCTGGAAGTTGAGTGGATGGCTTTGTAATATAAGGTATCAAACGTGGTGCTTTGGTGGGTGGTTTTAGAATGGATGTGGTCTTAGTTGACATGCGACTATCATTTATTGAAGATGTTGCTGCCAAATGTAACGATCCTGAAGGATCCTCATGTTCTTCATACACTGGTGGAGTGGGGCAAATGGATTCCTTCTTTAGTCTACTGAGTACACTTCCTTTAAAAATTGGAGGGCTATTGCAGACAACATCACCAATTATAGACTGCGGAGGCATGTTCTCCAACCAAGTTTTTAACTGCAGTAAGTCACAATTGCAGGCCCATTTATTGTCCTCCAACTGAAGATCCAATATTCGGCCAATGTGTTCGAGAAAGCCAACATAAGGCAATGTTTGTAACTGATTTCCACGAAGATCTAGATGGGTTAAAGGAACAAATCGGAAGATGTTTGGAGGAAGACTCTCAATAGCATTATCATTTAAAATTAACACTTTGAGTCTGTTGAGCTTGCTAAAGGCACTTGGTTCAATCACTGTGATAAAATTGTTATCGGCTTGCAGGAATTCCAGGTTTTCCAGTCCATGGAAAGTATCCTCTTTAAGAATTTCTAAAGAATTGTGATTGATATGAAGTTGCTTAAGGAGGCCAAGGCCATTAAATGCACCTATCTCAATATCTGCAATATTGTTAAATCCAAGGTGTATTGAAATAGCATTGGTAAGCCCAGAAAAGTCATTTGTGTGAAGCATTGTCAAGCCATTATTTAATAAGCTTAGTTGGAAAGGTCGTGATGGTGGCACACTTATTTCAGATACCGTCTTGATACCTTTTTCTTCACAATTTATTAGCATCGTGCCATCTTTTTCCTCACAATTGCAAAGAGAATCACAAGAGCTTCTGACTGAGAACACTGGAGTTTGGGACTGTAAAGACATACAGGCAAGGAGAGATGAATAAAAGAGATGAATCCACAGCTTCATGTTGTCATGTGATGAAATCCGATTCTGTAAAATAAAACGCAATAGCAAGGGACTTTAGTGGGCAGAACTGGGGAGGAGATGAAGCTGACATTTTCAAAATAATAGGTCTTTCTCCAAAAAGCAAGTGACTGACTACCATGGAAATATGGGTAGCTTACTGTATTTACATCGTTTTTTCTTTTTTTTTCTTCCTAATACTCAGACAGGCAAGTCTGACTGACTTTTAACTTGCATTGTGGTCAAAATATAAAATTTAGGTCAAGGGGAATTTAAAATATTGTATCATAATTTGTGTTCACATCTGATGAATAACCTGCATTTTAACAGATGAGAGAGGTGCTGCCTTAGAGCATTGATACTTCACTATTATGCAAAGTTACATATTTGAAAACTTTTTTTTTTTTAACCTTAAGGTACATAAATTTAAGGCTGGAGGATTATCGTATAAGACAAATATGTAGTTGTTAGCCATAAGCATAGAGAACTGTGGGGAATGTAAAAAATGATAAAAAGAGTGTATGTGTGCATATGTGTATGTGTGTATACATGTCCTCATGTAGCATGCATTGTCTTTATATTGTTGAACTGTGTGTCACACAATAATATCTAATAACTGTGTCTGTGTTTTAACTTGCTTTGGTTTGGGCTTAAAATTACATCTGTAGTATACGTGTGTGTGTGTATATATATATATTTACACACACTAATTTTATTTTTTATTTTGAAAACCTTGAGGAAAATATGTCTTTGATCATGTAATAAAGTATAGTACAATAAGAACTCTTTTAACTATTCAATCTAGGGAAGTTTGTATAAGCGTAATAGTATCAGATATATACACTTAAGAGTGACCATTCAAATTTCACTTAAATCCTTATATTTAATATTGAATTTCTAGAAGCAGTATATTTCTTACTGCTTTTTAATTATGTTATAGATGAGGTTGAAATAATAAAAACTAAAGAAGAAAGATTAATCTTTAACACACATTTCAGGCTGTTGTAAAGAATAAACAATACTTCATCTAAACTTCTAGCAAATGACTTCCTAATGAGGTTTTGAAACAGTCTTCAGGGCACTGAATGTCATCACATAATTAGGCAGCTGGTCTCCTTGATTATAAGACTTTAAGTCACGAACAATGAAGTCTGAAACAAACTGTATCATATTAAACTTTTTGATGGTGTTTCAAATTTGGTAAAAGAAAAAAAAGATGGTTCAGAATAACATCATGTATTCCAATCCTGATACATGTAACAAATGCATCTGAAACAGCAATTCTTAAAAAGGTTTTGTCCTTTAAATGACAGTTATGCAAGGTAAACGTTTATAGCTCTAATGATATCTAATTTTATTTCCTTCCTTTAAATATTATACTTTCAATTTATATAAACTAAATTGAAATATAAACACCACATCTTATGACTATTCAACTTTTCAATACAGTAATCAGTTTTCATTTTTGTTGTTTGAAATGTGAACAGTAATTGAATCAAATTAAAATTCACAATCAGGTAAAACATACCAGAACCCAATCAACCATCCTGAAAGTAAACTTTCATTCCCTGAAAACATAGTGTTTTATTGAAAACACATATAGTACAAAGTTCCTGAAAGGCAAAAGACAACTAAAGAAACAAAACAACATACTATGTTTCTATGTGAAGAGAAAGTTAGAAGACTTTATTTTTCTCTAGGGAAATAGTTTGATTTTAAACAGCTTTGTGAGCTGAGGTTATAAACAAGCAGCATGTAATTGGAGTCTTCAACTTGTGGATTAGCTTCCACAAACACTCAAAGTACTTATTTATAAATTACCAAGAGATAATAAGATTTATTTCACCAGGTATAGCATCAGAGAAAATAGCAAATAATTCTTCAGTGATAAACTCTTGTTATTATTTAAATCCTATATGAATTTTGTGCTCTTCAAAATGTGCTAGGAAACAGTTTCTAATCTCTTCAGAAACACACACAAATGTGAAAAGTGGTTCTCTACTGACAATATCCGATACAGTGGTAAAGAGGTCAAAAGATACTCATTGACATATTTTCTGAGAATACATATTTTCAAGTCAGAAAATAATATAAGTAGCATACAAAGTGCAAAGAATTATTCAATATTCTGCTTATATTTGCGATTCAACATTCACATTTGGAAGCGATCCTTCAGAAAGCATACATATTTAGTTTCTAACAACAAACTGCATGTTGTAAAAGAAATAGTGGAATATTATATTTGTTCTTCTCTACAGCCAGCTGTTAGACTAAATGTCTGCTGCTCAGAGAATACAGGCATCTGCTACAGTGTTAGTTGTGCCAGTAAGCAAGAATGAAATTGAGTATCCTTTAATGCAAAGTTGTTTGTTTAAAGGAGGCAAACATACAAATTCAATCACTTTGCTATAATGCAAAAATAAGTATAAGAAAAGCCTGGAAACATTCATCTTACCTGTAAAGCAGAGACTCTTCCTGACGTTATCTGTAACGCACAGCTGGAAGAGGTGTTCAAAGTAATTCAGTTCCTTTATTAAAAAAGAAAACACCAACCACTGCGTACTCTCTTCTCAAATATCACTTTTTGTCAGGTCCCATAGGTTCATAAAGTTAAAACCTCTGGTCAAAGATAGAATACTGAGCAATTCATTGAAAATATTTCAAGCAGAGTGCATACTAGAGCATCCTGAAGCAATTGTCCCTTTTTCCCTCAATTAAAATTCACAGCATACTTCCCAGCTATGCTGACTTTTTTGCATATAGTTAACCATTTGCAAGCTGCTGAATGCAGTAAGTAAACAAGATGTTTAACAGAGCTGGAACTGATCACTCTTGCTTTCTTAGTTTGTAGATCCAAGCTGCAGCAATGTTCTCCTTCCTCCTTTTCTAGTATTTCTTGTTAGCTCAGTTTGTTATTAGTCAGATTGCTAAGGGCTGGGAGGTAGGCGTAAATAAAGAGACTTCTTGGCTTTTGACTCAGCCTGTAAGCCCTTCCCCATCAGAGCGTTTTAATCTGCCAGTGTCATATAACACACGAGACAGCTCCACCTTGGGACTGCTCAACTCCTCCTCTTTCTGCAAATGGTCTTTCCACTCCCTTTCAATACCAAATACAGTGCGAGTGAATTTTGATGGAAATAATAACACGTCGTTTTAAATGCTTAATAGTACATTGTGTTATTATAGCAAGCTAAATAATACGTTATGTTAAATTCTCAACTAACACTGTTCTGTAGTGTTTGCACACATGTGTGCAGGAAACACAAGAATGTCGCCTATAGAGGAGTTGCCTCTTTTTTTTTTTTTTTTTTAAATCTGGTATTTATAGTTGAAATTGTGCACTCACTAGATTGTAAAATGTTAACATGAACAGCTTCCCTGCAATATTTGTATTTTTGTATTCACCGTTTAACTTTTTTAAAGCCTTAACTTAGGGACTCTAAGTTTTTACTTCATTATTTCTTTCCCTAGAGCTAATATTCAATAATTAAACTTAGAAATGAAGCTCTTGCAGTTATTTTAATATATTTATTTCGAAGAAAAGCATAATTATTTAAAAATATATTTAAAAATATTTAAACACAAAATAATTATCATTGATCAAGTTCTGTTTATCACTTTCAAAAATATAAAATTATATCTTTACAGATAAAATGAAACAAGTAAAATACATAGATATTGCAATAACCTGATTTCTATAGTGCTAGCTCAGAGAGAATTTATTCTTAATAGGTTATATCTTAAAAGTTGCATGTTTCTTCAACTCTTAAAAGTTTCTGAATCATCACTATTATTACTCTTAATTGTCAGATTCCTTATTCCTCAAAAAGCCTGTGGTTTAAAAAATTGTTCTTCTTGTCTACCTTCCTGAACTTTTTAACATCCCAAGTGCATATACTAGATGCTGTCTTTTATTTGTTTTGTTTAGAATAAACACAGATTCTAGTGGCCTTCTATGTAATAGTAGGTGTCATTTCAGAAAGTGCTATTTTTAAAAAGGAGAGTTGATATAGTTTAAATCATCAAAATAGAAGAATATCACATTATTATTTAATGATATACACTTAGATTCATATAGTTTTATAGTCTCAGGGTGGCATATTTGCTCTAAAAATATAAGGGCTCTGTGGGAATTTTCAATGTTCTCACTTTCCTTTGTATTTTCCAGTAATTAAGTTTCTCATTTATTTTAATGGCATTTTATGCTTTAACATGGAAAAGAGATGATGATACAGAGGAGGGGGTTGGAAAATAGAGTAAAAATTAAAAAATAAGAGAATGAAGAGTATAAGTGAAATTAAATATGATTAATTAGTCTTTGCCTCAATTTCCTGCTAGCTGCTAGCCAAATTAACTAAATCAAGGTAATGATTTAGATAGATAGTTAGAAACTGGAATTTTAATCAATAAAAAATGAAGGGGCAAGAATAATTTCCCTCCCAACTCTGTAGTCCTAATTCTCCACATGCATTCCTTTAGGTTTTGAAGTCAAGTGCATAGCAGAAATATTCTAGTAGCATAGTATGTGGGGCAAAATTTTTCAAGCCTACATGTGGACAAATGGAAGTAATTTCTTTGTAGATTGACACATGTTTCTCTCATGTCCTTCAATTTGATCATATATCTATTTTATCCATCATATACGCATAGCAGAAATTTGAAGTTTTTTTATCATGAATTCCTTTCCTACATAATGCATCTTGTCTTTTTAGTGTATAAATTACATGTCAATTGCAATAATTGCTGGTCAATTCCCCACAATGGTAAGGGAGAGAAGTATTGACTAAAAACACTTTTTAAAAAATTATTCACTTATTCTATAAGTTTTCGTTGGGAATAGAAAACTAGAAAAATAATTCTTTGAGGAGCAATCTATAACTTTTAATTTAAAGTGGTAATGTTCGTAATGAATTACTCAGTATTATCTCAGACTTAATTAAAATATACACTAGCACATCTGAAAAAATTGTAGACAAGTCTGCTGTTCTCTAGGTTTTTTTTTTTCACTGTAATTCTTCAGTCATTATATCAAATCAGTAATGTAGTCATTCTTTCCAAAATGTTTATTATCGCAGGTTATGTGCTAATGATTATTGAACAACATTTATTTTAACAATATTTTTAATTTCCAATTAATCAATGGGAAAGTACTTTCTTAGTGTACTTTTTTTTTTTTTTTTTTTTTTTGTTGAGACAGAGTCTTGCTTTGTCGCCCAGACTGGAGTGCAGTGGTCGGATCTCAGCTCACTGCAAGCTCCGCCTCCCGAGTTCACGCCATTCTCCTGCCTCAGCCTCCCGAGGAGCTGGGACTACAGACGCCCGCCACCTCGCCCGGCTAGGTTTTTGTATTTTTTTAGTAGAAACGGGGTTTCACCGTGTTAGCCAGGATGGTCTCGATCTCCTGACCTTGTGATCCGCCCGTCTCGGCCTCCCAAAGTGCTGGGATTACAGGCTTGAGCCACCGCGCCCGGCCTCTTAGTGCACTTTTAATAATAAATTCATCACACGATTATAATAAACAATGAATTTTATTTTTCCACCTAATCTATGCCTGTTCCCCAGTAACTTCATATTATTATTATGTATTATTATTATTGTTATTATATATAGAGACAGGGTCTCACTCTGTTATCTAGGCTGGAGTACAGTGGTTCAATCATAGCTCACAGTAACCTCCAACTCCTAGACTCAAGAGATCCTCCCATCTCAGCCTCATAAGTACCTGGGACTTGGGGCATGCTCTACCATGCCCAGCTGATTCTTTTATTTTTTATAGAGACAGGGGTCTTACCATGTTTCCCAGTCTGTTCTCAAACTCCTGGCCTCAAGTGACCCTCCCATCTTGGCCTTCCACAGTGCTAGGATTAGAGGCTAATTATTAATAATAATAATTTTTTTTGAGAAGGAATCTCACTTTGTCACCCAGGCTGGAGTGCAGTGGCACCGTGTTGGCTCACTTCAACCTCTGCTCCTGGCTTCACGCAATTCTCCTGCCTCAGCCTCCCGAGTAGCTGGGATAACAGGTGCCCACCACCAATCCTGGCTAATTTTCTTTCTTTTTTTTTTTTTTTGTTTGAGACGGAGTCTTGCTCTGTCGCCCAGGCTGGAGTGCAGTGGCCGGATCTCAGGTCACTGCAAGCTCTGCCTCCCGGGTTTCGCCATTCTCCTACCTCAGCCTCCCGAGTAGCTGGGACTACAGGCGCCCGCCACCTCGCCCGGCTAGTTTTTTTGTATTTTTAGTAGAGACAGGGTTTCACCGTGTTAGCCAGGATGGTCTCGATCTCATGACCTCGTGATCCGCCCGTCACGGCCTCCCAAAGTGCTGGGATTACAGGCTTGAGCCACCGCGCCCGGCCAATTTTCTTATTAATTATTTTAAATCACGACCTGTAAATTACGTGTTATTGTGACATTTAACAATATCTCTGCTTTCAGAGTGTGTATTTCTAAAGGGCCAACATGAAAGTATTCTAATTGCATTGAAGAAAACCAAGCAGTCGGAAGAAATAAACCTATCTCTGTTATTAATTTTAGAGCAGCAGCCTACAATCAGCATATTTTATTGCGCATGAGGACAAAGGAAGTGAAGGCCTTCCCTCCCTCTTTTCATGGATGCGGGGAGATCATCTTAATATCCAATGACCTGAAAGACTAGGAGGTAGAATGTTTTATCAAATTTGTTGAACCGATAATGTGTACAGTACAAATAGAGTGAAAACACCAAGAGTGAGCACTGGAAAAAGAAAAGAAAAAAGTAAAACAACGAGATTTATTCATTCTAAGTAGGACCAGTTCCACCTTAGAGTGGCTTTCCACCTTCTTTAGTGTCACATTTAAGAGGTAAAGTGAAGACGTGTGTGATTGAGTTTAATTCAAAAATCCGAAAGGCTTGCAGGGAGAGAACGCTATACCATCTGCGGTGTAGACTGAGGCGTATTTCAATACTCTGAAGTTAGAAAGTATGAAATTTGGTGATTTGGGGAGTATGCTAATACTATAGGGAATTTTAAATATTAGCTAGTCATTTCGCTGTTTGAAAAAAAGAATCAACTCTGTTTCACTTTTTACATACTTATATGATTGTTTTGAAAGGAATATTAAACACATTATTGGGAAACAGATATTATTGTGGGCTGTGCTTTCTTTGTACTGCCAGGGAATTACACTGAAACTCATGATAATGCTACTAAAATAAAATATTACAAACACTTATAAATAACGCATAAATGCACAGTCTCCAGAGACCCTGATATATTAATTTTATAAACTTTTAAAAATTATGTTTCTCATTTTCCACCAAAAGTTTTCTTTAAATTTGTATATACCTTTTGAGAAGTGTCTTTGTTTCATTAAGAAATTATAAAATGCAAAATAAATAAGGAAAAATAAAATTCACTAGCAATTCCATAGCTTAAATTTAACTCAAATGTTTATTTTATATTTCCATTCTCTTTATTGTATACACATGTAATCATTTTTATAAAATGAGAAAATAATATCTAAAAAGAACAATGAGTAAAGTCAACTTAAATACAGAATTGACTTATTTACATAAATCCAATTCATAGAAAATAATAGAAGAATGTTGCCTTTCATCTTTCAAAATTGTATGCTACACAATTTTCAAATTATGAACCCGGGGTGTTCTTTCATGTTTCACTAGAAGAGGACGAAAACACTTTCTAAACATTACTTTTTCTGTTGCCTAACAATAAGAGTTTAATTATTATGGATATCTTGACTTCTGATAACAACATACAGTTAAACTAAGAGACTAACTTTTAGATGATGAAGAATAGAAAATCTTCCTAACTTTTGCAATATACACACATCTGTAGATCAGAATGTCATTGGCACAATGTTCATCATGTTTGACTTATTTCTATGAAAAGTCATGTGTCTTGGAGGAAATGTATAAGGTAGATATAATATTTTATGGATATATCATAGATAAGAAGACAAGAAAAAACACTATGGAAATACAGAGGAAGAAGGGATTAAATAAGTCACTTTGGGGAATTTGAGGAAGGTCTCACCATGAAGATGACATTGAACTGGATGAATGTTTAGGAAACTTGCCTTTTGCATTGTGCCTTTAACAAGAAGTTTGATTTGTTATGTAAGTCTTAGGTTTCCTTCATACTTAATTTGACCTAATAGCAAAGGTATACAACTGATAAAGGGAGTGCTTTATTCTAAGAGAAGTTTTGTAATAAAAACTTCCTCTTGGTGATTTGAATTCAATGAACACAAAGGAATTCTCTAATACCCTTGTTTAACCTGGCAAAACCTAAAAGAAAACAAAACAGTAACTTTCTTCTGAAAGCTTAAACTATGACCAGTCTGTCTTCATATAAATCCTATTGAAAAATTTCATAACAATTCCTACTTCAAATGGAGGACTAAGCAAACTTAAAAAATACGTGAAAAATGAACCAAAAAATGTGAATAAATGTTTTCATGATGCGTAGTGAATAAAGTGCAAGATGGCAAGGTGCATTGGAATAATGCTAGACTGTGAGTTATT